TCGTGCTTACCTATCTCTAGGCAAGACCATCGCTGGTAGTGCTTGTAGCGTGCGGTTTTCACGCAGTACGAGGCTTGGTCCACATTTATGTCAAATCGTATCGACCTAGTACGTCAATCCAGTTAAGAGACAAGTTATGCTAAAGGTTAGCACTTTCTCACTCCACCACGTATGGTCATTCTATAGGTGCACAGTACATGGCAGACGTTTGTTTACATGGAGCACATAGGTAGGTGTGCACCTACGCGAGCACAAAACTTACCATCAGGGCCTAGTCCAAGCCATTTTTCATACCGAATACAGGCGCCCAAATTACGACCCCTAGAAAAACGCCCAAATTACAAAATTCATAAAACGCCCAAATTAGCAGAGCTCTGAAAATTGTGAAAATTATATCTCCATGTTTCTATCATTATGTAGGCACTGTTTTATAATAAAATGCTCATATAAGATCTATAATCTATTATCTGAATAAAATGTGTCGACCAAACGCCTAATTTAATGTGATAGATAAGAATACGTACATTAACTTAATAATCTAAACACTAAAAAAATATTTTGCTCATGCTATACTGCCCTCTTGCGTTCTCGTTCTACGGCTATCCGTCTGCAATCTTGTTTAAAGCCTGTTTTCTTTTTAAAACTGTTTGCTCAGTTTAACCAGCACGGGGCAATCATCTTCTCGGACGTCGACCCAGCATCAGAGGGCGTTGCTGCTGCCGCGTTATCACGGAGAGCATATGCAGCGCCATCTGCCCGCGCGCTCAATCATGTGGTGTTCCTGCCGGAGCAGCGGGAGTTAGGAATAGCAGCAGTATATTGGACCCTCATGCTCGTCGATGACACGGTACTGGGAGAGGGAGGGAACCAGTCGGTTGGTCAGTCTAGAGTGTCTGGGCTGCTGGGCTGGCCAAGGCCAGGCTGCCTGGCTGTGCTCCTCACTGAGGCAATTCGTCTTGTCGTTTTGTTGTTACGAGTAAAATCTGAGAATTTTCTTCGGCTATTTAGTCATCAGTTATTTTTAGGACATTGTCTGCTGGATACAGTTGGATATTTTTGCCTCAGTACGAATCTGTTTTTATTACTTGATTGTATTGAATGATGATCTATATGCCTGCTGTTATTGACTGCCAGGTATTGCCAAGCTGTGTAAATAGGTCTTAAAGAAACATACGTGCCATTGAAGTGTCACGATGTTTACACCTTTGTGCATGCACGTAAAACACGCATAAACCGGTCTAGCTTAATTGAAGAAATATTCACAGTGGGTGGCTTAGTTACCGCACTCAGATGGGCAGGTTAATTAGATGTACTTCTCACTGTCACGTAAGAAGTAGACATATACTTTGACAGTTAATGAAATGAGGGACACTTTGTCAGTATCTTCTTTGACGTTGCTTGCATTCGTTGCAGACGCCCGAAGCCGGTGTCTTCTACAAGGTGTTGGTGAGGGAGCGTGGTGCCTCCGATGCAGCCATTATTGATCGCATCATGGGTGGCGCGGGAAGCGGCATAGAGTGGGCTCTGATCATCACCTGGAGCAAGATGCAGCAGCCAGGCAACAAACAGAGTGTAGGAGCAAATCAAAGTCCAGTAGTCTCTATGTCTGTCTCACGCATGTGGGTTTCTCTGTGCCTGCACTGACTCATCACCTGTTACTCTGTCCCTCCCTTTCTCTCTCCCTCTCTCCCTCTCTCCCTCCCTCTCCCTCTCTCTTCCTCTTTCTCTCTCTCGCTCTCTTTTTCTCTCTCGCACATTTTTCAGTATTTCTCGCTAGCTCTCGCTTGTTCTTATTCTTTCTCTCTTGTTCTCTCCCCCTCCTCTTGCTTCTTAATTGTCTGTTTATCTCTTGCCTTTTATCTCTCTCTCTCATCTCTCTCTTCTCTCTCTACTCTCTCTCTCTCTCTCTTCTCTCTCTTCATCTCTCTCTCTCTCTCTCTCTCTTCTCTCTTCTCTCCCCGTCTCTCTCTCTCTCTCTCTCTCTCTCTCTCTCTCTCTCTCTCTCTCTCTCCACCCCCTTTCTAGCTGTCTAGTGTTCTCTCTCGCTCTTTTTCACTTTTTCTCTTCATCTATATCTTAACACTCTTATCACCAACTGTTCCAATCTTCTAACAGGTGCCTGCTTTCTTGCAGACGGTTACGTTTCAAGCTGCCGTCCTTTCCAGCTACGAGACGACTAGCGTCCACTACACTTATGCTGATGGTCAGATGCACTTTGACATGCGGCTGGCAGGCAGTGTCAGCCAAGCTCCCATACTTATAGGCGTAGTACTGCGGGGCATAGCTGGCACTTACGCAGAGGAGCATGCACTGTCCTACGCTAGCACTCATGCTGAGCTCACCCTACTGCTACGAATCGACCAGCAGCCTTCTAATGTCAACGCGTCTGTGAAGGGCTGGCTGGTGTACCCGTGGGTCGGGGCACAGAGCCCTGTCGCTAACCACTACAAAGGCTGCTACGACTGGGCGGTACAGGAAAACCTGCAACCAGTGCCACCTACAGGCGTCAACCAGTGTCCGTGCTCACTAGGTGTCGCTACCACTGACGCACAGCACGAAGTTTGGCTTGACAGCGGCATCATGCAGTGCTTCCGTCTGGTAACTGCCATCACTGAGCCCGGATTGGTAAATTCGGCGCTGACGCCGCGTTGCTGCTATGACGTCGCGACGCAGGCATTGCTGACGTCGGTCACGCTGGCACAGGGAGCTAACACCCTGCAACGCTTCATCCCAGGATCCGCCGAACAATTAGACGATGATGCTGCCTACTCCAGCTGCTGCCTGTCGGGTCTGGCTACCAGATGGTGCTTGCTGTATGTTAGCAGACGCCCTGCAGGTGTATGCGCGCCCTCTGCCACAGGTAATATGTACAGTTTGTCAATAATTGAATAACACGTGAACATAGGTGAAATTGAATGTAGGCAGCATCACGTGCATGCAACATAATTATGTAAACACATGGCACTCCAGGCAAAGGTCTAGTTTCAGTACGCTCACTTATACTATACCTTCTGACTAAGAACTGGTCATAGTGAATATTTATTTATTCATGTAATTATTTATGATTTTATTTATTTATTCATTTTTAGCTCATCTGACATACTCAGATGCAGCTTGTAGAATCGCGTGCGTCAGGCCGTGCGTCCATCCGGCCGTGCGTCCATCCGGCCGTCCGTCCGTTAACAGTTGGGCACAAATCTAAACTGCTCGACATACGGATTCGAAAGTTGGGACGTGGGGGGGTAATCCGAAAACGAGTTGGGATGTCGAAGCTGGGGGGTCAAAGGTCCAAGGTCAAGAGGTGTAAAAGAAGGGGGAACATTCCCTCCTTAACTTAAGGTATAGGAAGGAAATGCAGAATTGCGGCACAAATCTAAACGGCTCGATCTAGGCTCGTGATAGTCGGTGTATAGCATCATGGTAGGAAAAGCTATCACTGTGCCGAAATTGGAGGGCACAGGTCAATGGAACACAGGGCAGATTTTAGACATTTTCTGACGAAAGGACATGGTCTGACGGAGCGATTGAAAAAACTTTTTTGTTTCAGCGGTGACCTAGCATTTTTGTGGCTTTATTGAAAGGACCATGAAATGTACTTTCTGCTGACATGCGAAGCGGAAGTGTCGGATAACCTTTTGACCCTCAAGAGGAGGGTTAAACATGGATTTGTTTTCTGTTAGAAAGAATTTGACTGCCAAGTTTGCTAGTAAAATCTATACATGCCTGGATGTATGAGGCTATACAATGTCCACAGTGAAATTTCAAAAGCTAAATTTGGTTGAAGAAGGTTTATGCTCCTTAAATCGTATAATTTCTATGCATTTTGTATTGTCAGTGTGTTACATGTAACTTAATTATGCCACTACAGTGCCACTGCCAGTGCATGTGGTGGTGATAGTACGGTGTAGTTTTGCCTGGCGTTAATTGGTTACAAGGTGGCAGCTCTCTATTTCAGCCTGTAGGCTTGCGTAAGGTAAATGGATGAGTGCTTATACCTATTCTGTCTTGCAAATAGTTGTTGCTAACTACGTACGATGGGAGCTTCCATCTTTAATCCTAAGGACATTCAAACGTACGCCGCATCTCGTGGCAAGTTTCATAACGATCCCAACGAACATTCTTCGAGAAAGTTCCTGATACCATCCCCAGTGTTCGAAAATAAGGGCTATCCGTTTGTCCGTACTTGTCCATTTCCACGGAGGACAAGTAGATCTGTCCGGTAGCTGTCCGCCGGAGCAAGCAGCTTTTTAGAGAGCAATTTTCATAATTTTCTACACATCGCTGGCCACTCTGCTGGAGAGAGAGAGAGAGAGAGAGAGACAGAGGGAAGAGAAGAGAGAGAGCAGAGGAAGAGAGGAATAGAGAGAGAGAGACGAGAGAAGAGAGAGTGAGGTGAAGAGAGAGAGAGAGAGAGAGAGAGAGAGAGAGAGAGAGAGAGGAAGAGAGAGAGAGAGTAATAGAGTGAGAGAGAGAGCCGACGAAGAGAGAGAGAGACAGATGAAGAGAGAGAAAGAGAGAGAGCACACAGAAAGAGAGAGAGAAAGATAGAGAGAGAAAGAGAGAGAGAGAGAAGAGAGAGAGAGAAAGAGAGAGAAGACAAAGAACAAAGAAAGAGAGAGACAACGAGGAGAGTGAGTGTGAGCGAGTGAGACAGACGAGAGCATGAAGGGAAAGAGAGGGAGCAAGAGAGAGAGAGAGAGAGAGAGGAGAGAGAATGAGAGAGAGTGATCGTCGAGCGAGAGAGAGAGAGAGAGAGAGAGAGTGATCGAGCGCAGAGAGAGAGGGAGAGAGAGAGAGCGCGAAGGAAGAGAGAGGCAGAGCGGAGACGCGAAAGAGAAAGAAATGAGAGAGACTACGAGGGAGAGCGAACGCGGCGATGGGAGGGTGCTCTTGATTCGTTTGCCAGTGAGTTTAGCATCAGAACACCTGCCGTCAGGTGAGCGCTGTCGCCTCTGCGGCACTTGTTTTATTTATACATACTAAATTTGATAGATAAACAACATCTTCTAAATGATTTCTGATATTTTTCAGCCAACAACCCTCCACAGTGTTACTATGACCTTAGCCCCATGGGTCTAGTGACAGCTGGACAGGATGTCATCCTGCCAAACCAGTTTGAAACAATCGACCTTGAGTCTGACTCCATAACCTACTCTCTTAAAACGGCACCCTCTGGTGTCAGTGTCGACACACTAACAGGCAACCTGACTATGGAGTAGGTGCACCTTACGACATTTGAAAATCTGCCGGCGGTAAGTTGTTCTTCATTTAAAGTGTCGCAAAAAGAGCCTTCCATTGCTCGTCCTATTTCTTGGATGGATACACCTACACATAGTCTAGGTTAACTCATTGTTTGCTATTGAGAGCAGAGGGGCGTGTACAGCGGAGGGGTCCAGGGGGTCCGGACTTCCCCCCTGCTCGCGCAGAAACACATCTAAGGGCGGTCTAATTTCAACATTTTTCTGGGGGAGGTCCCCCCCCTCCGCTTTGTGCTCGCAAGTTTGGGTTACGGTTAGACCCCCCCCCCTGTAGGCAAATCCTGTACACGCCCCTGGAGAGCCCCTCAGACATAGACTGAAACATTAGAGGGTTCATGACCCTAAACGCTCACCCCCCACCCCATGTCTTCCTATCTGTCTGCTTGTCTTCTTATCTATCTGTCTGTCTGTCTTTCTGTTTGAACCGTGCGTCAGTCCGTGCGCGTGCATGCGTACGTGCCTGTCTGTCTGCCTGTCTGTCTCTCTGTATGCCTGCCTGCCTACCTGCTGCCTGCCTGCCTGTTTGTTTGTGTGTTTGTCTGTATGTCTGTCTCCATCTTTCTTTATCCATCTATCCATTCATCCATGCCATACATCCATCCACCCATCTGTCACCATATATTAATTAAGTCATCTTGTTACTAGCTGTATAAGGTTTTATTCACAGCCATTGTTACCATCTTACAGATTACGTTGCTGTGCGAGCGACGGTCAAACAGCCAGCCTGACCCTCCTACCTGTACTACTGTGCACCTGTCAGGTGAGATTTCAATCACTACTAGCTGTCTCTGTAAGTAAGCTAGGTATAGGATGTTGCTTGACTGCACTTTTATACGCTGACTGCATCGATCTGTATATTATCTGGAAAAGATTAGCAATTAAGTAACTGGTCCATCTAAATTCATTTGACCTCTGCATTGTTTTTATCGCCCAAATTACGTCAGACTGTTGAAGAGTGATGTAGCATCTAAAACTATGCCTATCTAAGACACTATATGCCTCCAAGGAGATCTCACTTCTAGGCGTGCAGTATGATGTTGTACCTGCGTGCGTGTATACGTGCTAGCATGCGTATTGTTAGTTGCGTGGCGTGGTGAGGTATATGTATGTCTCTCCGTCCCCTCTATTTCTCGCCTCCTCTCCTACCTTCTCTCTCCCACCTTCTCTCTCTCTCTCGCGCCGTGCCTCTCCTCTCTCTCTTCTCTCTCTCTCTCTCTCTCTCTCTCTCTCCTCTCTCCTCCGCTCCTCTCTCTCTCTTTCTCGCTCTGTCTCCTCTCTGACGCTCTCTCTCTCTCTCTCTCTCTCTCTCTCTCTCTCTCCGATCTCTTTCTCCATCTCTGTCTTCTGTGTATGTGCGTGCGTGCTTGCGTGCTTGCGCGTGGCGTTGCGTGCGTGCGTGCGTTCGTGTGTGCTTGCGTGTGGTTGTGTGCAGTAACATACTGCACACAAACACACGCAAGCACATGCCAGTATGTGTGTGCATTTGTGCATGTGTATGTGTATGCGCGTGTGTGGGTGCACGTATACATGTATGCATGTGTATGCATGTGGATGTGGATATAATATCCAAAACTACAGGCTCTTGCTGATGTCCTTTGGTTGTATGTGTTCTTACTGTAAAAAAAAAAAAGACGGTAGGAAACGTGTCTGGAGAATAGCCCGAGTGATACAGACGCCTTCTACAGGATGGCACGCTGCGTCTGTGTGCACGGCTACACAGGCCTCTCCTTTCTCTGTCAGTATGACTTAGATGGGTGTGCTGACAGCCCCTGTTTCCCAGGTGCGTGTCCACACATGCAACCACGCATGGATGCATTAAAATATACACGTACATAGATGCACATCTCTGTGAAGTTTCCAAGCATTGGTAGAAGTAACAATTGGTGCTCTCTCTCTCTCTGTCTTTCTTTCTCTCTCCCTCTCTCTCTCTCTATTCTTATTCTTTCTCCCTCTCTCTCTCTCTCTCTCTCTCTCTCTCTCCCCCTCCTCTCTCTGCTTCTCTCTTCCTCTTCTCCTCTCTCTGCTCTCCCCTCTCTCTTTCTCTCTCTCTCTCTCTCTCTCTCTCTCTTTCTTTCTCTTTCTCTCTCTCTCTTTCTTTCACACTCTCTTACGCTTTATCATTCTCTCTTGATATTCTTGCTTTTCTCTCGCTTGCTCATGCACACGCTCTATCACTTTCTCCCATTTCGCGTGAGTTTAATGTTGCTGTGCTTGTACAGGTGTTGTCTGCCAGGACGTGCCTGCTAACAATACGAGTGTGTCCAGCCCGGCGTACATCTGCTCTAGCTGTCCCAACGACCACAGAGGCGACGGTCAAGTGTGCTACGGTACCATATCATCAGGAGCGAATAAAAACTAATGTTTTTTGCTAAATTCGTTTTTTTATTTACTACCAATAAATAAAATCAAAAGGAGTGTCCGATGCTTAGTTATTAGAAATCAATGTTTTTCTATTTAGGATATTCATGATTTAAAAATTTTAAATGACAAATCTTTGTTTGTATATACTTCTGTATTATATGCAGCATAGTATTGCGAGAATATAATCTTTCCACACACACGTAATCTTTGTGTGTAGTGCCGTTCATATAATGTGTTCTCGACACGGAAAATCTTCCTCGAATCATTTTCAAATACCAATATCATATCAGCATGCATCATTCCTATTATATTATGGCTAACTTTAGGAAAAACAAAGAAAGCGCGCGTATTCATTGCCTTTCGTAAAGCAATTAGCTTCATAAACTGTTGTCAAACCTCATTCCGTCAACACATGCACTTGTTGACATGCCTGAGTGCCTTGTATTCTACATGACCCGTAGACTACAACGAGTGTGCATCAGCCGGGGTGGCTAGGTGTGAGCATACGTGTACAAACCTGCCAGGGGAGGCTATGCCTGCGGCTGCCACCAAGGCTTCATACGAGCTGATGACAGCTACTCATGTGAAGGTATCTCTTCTCTCTCTCTCTCTCTCCTCTCTCCTCTGCTCTCTCTCCTCTCTCTCGTCTCTCTCTTTCTCTCCCTTTCTCTGCTTTTTCTATATATATATATATATATATCTTATCCTCTCCTCCTCTCTCACTCTCTCTCTCTCGTCCTGCTCTCTCATCTCTATATAATATATATATATATATATATATATATATATATATATATATATATATTTATTCTCTCCCTATCTCTCTCTCTCTCTCTCTCTCTCTCTCTCTCTCTCTCTCTTTCTTTCTCTGTCTTTATCTCTTTGCCCCACAACTGCGAGGTAAACACTAACTGTTCACCATGTCTGAGAGAGGTTGGAATAGGGATAGGGAGAAAAGTTGGGGTGAGGTAGGAAGGGAGATAGGAAAGAAGGTACGAATGGAGGTGGGGATGGATATGAGGAGACAGGTAGGAAGGGAGATGAAAAAGAAGTTGCGGAGTGAGCTGGGAAGAGAGGTGAGAAGGGAGATCTAGAAAAAAATTGAAGAACAAATAAAATGAAGAAATTTGAAGGGAGATAGGAACGTAAGAAGACAGTTGGGAATGGAGGTTGAATGGGATGTTGAAAGGGACATTGAGTGGGAACCGAGAGGGTAGGTAAAATGGGAGATGGAAATGGATATTGGAAAAGATGTGGAGAATGGTCCGCAAAGCTACCTTAATCTATTTATTTGGCCTTAGATTTTTCACTAACTCGCAATCAGATGAGGTTGCATACGTGTCTGTCCAATGCGTTATTTGATAAAGGAAATGACCATGATTACAACTCCCACCGAGCAGTCTTACTGATAACTTTCTTTGCCGTCCCTCTTTTCATCTTGTTTCTATCTCCCTCTCTATTTGAGGGTTTTTCTGATATTATCGTGGTTATATTAATAAGTCTACCAATAAATGTTGATAAAGGTGTCTGGGTCGTTGACATCTAGTTACCTCTGCAGATGTGGACGAGTGTGCTGGATCAAGCGACATGTGTGGTTCGCACGGGAACTGTGTGAACACACTTGGTAGTTTCACCTGCCAGTGTGAGACGGGATACTACCGCCTCCACGCGGAATGTGTTGGTAAGTTGTGGTAGTTGTACATGTTGTATATTACATATTAGTAAGTGATGGTCGTGCTAGTAGTATATTACATGTTAGTATGTGGTGGTCGTGATAGTGGTACATTACAATTTACATGTTAGTAAGTGCTTGTGGTGGTAGTTGTACATTACATGTTAGTAAGTGCTTGTGTTAGTAGTGGTACATAACATGTTAGTAAGTGGTGGTCGTGGTAGTGGTATATTACATGTTAGTAAGTAGATAGGAACACGTCCATTTCGTAAATCAGTCTTTATTCAATACAGATTACAAATGATGGGACTCGAGGAAAGAGGAAATAGGAAAGAGAGTTACATTGTGGTATATTATTGTCTATTTCTCCCAAGTCTTTGGTATGTCTGTATTCAAAGAGAGGTGCCAATGACTGACTGATTAAAAGTAACACATGAAATGAAAGCATAAATCTTTAGAGTGATGTCTTTACCATACTTATGGTAAATAACTCAATGTTTGATTTAGGAGCACTTGTCCATAAGAAATTAATGTTAAAAATTAACAAGTAAAGTTTATGATGTGTCTGTCACAAATACGACACTATTTTGACATATCATAGTCGCCCGATGTCTGCCAGGCAGGTCGTCGTCTGACGCATGTCATGGTTCTGGTCGGTGCAGTAGGATTGTCCGGCAGCATTACTGTGTCCGGCTGTGTACTGGGGTTCTTGGGTGATGCCCGAGGAGACAGTTGCTGGTTGCGATGTGGACCTCCAGGCCATTGTCGAGGTCTAGCGGGTGTAATGATTGTCTCATCGGAAGTCGGTCGAAGCTGCTGATGGGCATCCGGGAACTGGTGGCACCTGCCGTTCATTTGAAGGTTGGTGACGATGACACACTCTGGACGCTGGGCCAGGTTAGCGGTTCCGGGGTACTGATGGTGTGTTGGTGATGACTCTGAGTGGCCACCTTCATGTTTTCCCGATGGGCTTATGAGAGGTTTCCATTTGGCTTTGACCTGGGCCCATCTAGATGCATGCTGTGCGATGGTTCATCAATATATGGTACGTCGGCGGGTTGTAGCGGGTGTATCGGTTATTACATCCCGCAGCACGTTCCTATTGGCGCGACTGTAACTACGTCCCTGACGTCGACACTCACCCACGTACTGGTCGTGGTTGGGCGGGACCTCTAATTCACGCTCTGTCCAGTTTTATCCCCATCTCCAGTGGTGCTAGGGCCAGTTTGGTTCTGATCCTGACGTGGTTGCCAAGACTTACAAGGGGGTGGGAAGTCGCTTGTGTGTTCCACCAAAACGTTTCAGCAGCCCTCATTATGTCGGTTTCTCCCAATGTTTCCTCCCTCGCGCCCAATGTTTTTCTTTCTCTCATTGCTCGTGGGTAGGTAACGACCGGGAGGAACAGGGTGAAGTTCCTGATAAAGCCGGCCCAAAGACTGCACATTCGCAGGGGAGAGGTTTGGTGTCTTGTCGGGCAATTTCGGTGCGTGCAGGCATTGCACGTTGCGAATTGTCAGTGTCAAGTTCACCGTTATGCGTCCTGTGGTTGTCCAGTTTATAACGTCGTTGACCAGTGTTACTGATGGTGGTGGCTGATGGTTTGATGACTCAATTCTGAAAGACCAATAGGAAAGAAGATGTTACATATGTGGTATATTAATTGGTCTAGTAATTGTGTTTGTGGTGGTAGTTGTACATAACATATGTTAGTTAAGTTGCTCTGTGGTGGTAGTTGTACATTAACATTGTTTAGTAAGCTTGTGTGGTAGTGGTACATAATAATCGTTCAGTAAGGTGACTTGTGGTGTAGAAGGCGGCGTAAGCCTACGGCAGTGGGGCCTGGGGGGCATGGGCCCCCCCCAAATTTTTCTGTTGCTCCCCCAACTGAAAATTCATCTTGCATAAAAAAAAATTTTGAAGTTAGAAAAACAATTGCCCGTCTAGAAACAGTATAATACAATGAAAGAACGTTCGAACCCAGCCCATCTCAATCTGGGGGTTCGGCGCCCCCCCAGTGCCCCCCCCCCCGCTGAAAAAAATCTTAGCTACGCCACTGGGTGGTAGTGGTATATTACATATTACTAAGGCAGATGGGGTCGTTGTCGTATCAGGTACTACAGATATGTACCCGCGTGGTAAGTTTTAGGTTTCGTTTTAGATTATGTTTTATATTTTTATATGAGCGTATGTTAGGTATAGAAGGTAATAAAGGTAAACACTAATCATGTAAGTACAAGTCTGGCATACACTTATGTGATATAACAATTATGTACCTCTCAAGGAACAACAATATCTGTAGTACCTGATACGACAAACGACCCTGTGAGCGTTACTTAAGGGGGTGGGTAGTCGCCTGGATTTAATAAACTTCGTGGTGTGTGAGTGGTGGGAGTGATACTTTTTGCAAAATCTAGAGATAGGGGTTCATATGACTTAAGCAATGGATGATATACAAATACTAGTAAACATATACGTACACGTGTGTCTGTGTTTGGCAAGCCCCTATTTTCTCTCCTTTTTCTATTTTATGTTTTTAAGAATTTCCTACTTTTGGATACTATCATCTATTTTTCCTATTTCTTTGGACCTATATTTTAGCCTTTACATTTTTCACATAAATTCCTATTTTCCCTCTATTTTAGACTATGTAACTCCTTATTTTCCTGAAGGTCCTAACTGTAAAAGCCCACCCCTCAAATCTATACTGTTGAACGTTTCAGATGTGGATGAATGCTCTGCACTAGACCCGTGTCCAGACTTCTCAGCCTGTCACAACCTCGACGGCTCGTACGAGTGCATCTGTATGCGAGGCTACGAACGCAATGTGGCCGGTGCTTGCACAGGTGCGTGTGTATAGGTGTAGTCTCTACGTAGGTGAAATGATGATAGCTGCGTATGGGATAGGCTCGTCTCTGTACAGGCAAGTGGCGCACTCACTCACTCACTCACGTACTTTGTCACTCACTCGCTCACTCAGTCGCACACACACACACACACACACACACACACACACACACACACACACACACACACACACACACGTATGCACTCACTTGCTTACTCACTCACTCCCTCACTGACGCATTCACTCACTGTTTCGCTCAGTCACACCAGTCACTCATGATCACTCACTCACTCACTCACATACTAATTCGCTTACTCACTCACTCCCGCATGTATCCACGCACGCACTAGCTCGCTTGCTCGCTTAATCACTCACTCACATACTAACTCGCTAACTCACTCATTCAATCACACCTTCACTCACTCATGCACGTACCCACGCACGCACACACTCACTCACTCATTTACTCGCTTGCTTGCACACTCACTCACGTACGTACCCACGCACGCACGCACTCACTCACTCATTCACTCGCTTGCTTGCTCACTCACTCACGCACGTGCCCACGCACGCATGCATGCACGCACACACTCGCTTGCTGACTCACTCACTCGCTCACTCGCACACTAAAGCGTTATCACTCGCTCTATCACTCATTTGCTCAATCACTCATGCAGTCACTCACTCACTCACTAGCTCGTTCATTCACTCACTAACTCGCTCACTCACTCACTCACTCACTCACTCACTCACTCACTCACTCACTCACTCACTCACTCACTCACTCACTCACTCATTTATTCACTCACTCACTTACTAATACTCACTTGCGCACTCACTCTCACCCACTTACTCACTCACTCACTCACTCACTCACTCACTCACTCATTAGTTTACTCAGTCGCGCACTCACTAACTTGCTCACTCACTCACTCACTCACTCACTCACTCACTCACTCACTCACTCACTCACTCACTCACTCACTCATTCACTCACTCACTCACTCATTAACTTCCTAAGTCACTAACTCACTTACTTATTCACTAACTCGCTCACTCACTCACTCACTTAATCTAACGTGGTAAAAATAATTTAAACCCAGTAAAATTATAGCCCTTTTACCAAATCAGAGGCCTTGTTACTCATAATTTAACCGTGGTAAAAATAAATCATGTGCGGTAAAATTATGCGTAACAAGGCCATCAATTGGGTAAAAGGGCTATAATTTCACCATTTTAAAATGATTTCTAACGCAGTAAAATTAATTTATCCACAGTTAAATTATGTGTAGGCCTATCAAGGCCTATAATTGGGTAAAAGGGCTATAATTTTACTGTGGTAAAATTATTTTATCGTTCACTCACTAACTCATTCGCTCACGTACTTACTGGCTCACTCGCTCTGTATAAAGGCAGATATGCACACCCCATTGCAGACGAAGCAGTTATAAGTTTGTTAAACTAAAAACACAAATATATAGCAACTTATATAATGTAATATATGTATATATTTAAGACATAATGAACTGTTGATTCGTTTGTAAGCAATACTGATTGCTGCTGCAGATGTGGACGAGTGTGATGTTTGGGAAGATAACAGATGTCAGCAACTGTGTGTGAACACAGTAGGCGGTTTCCACTGCACCTGCCACGCTGGCTTCACCATCGACCCAGACTATGCTACTGTCTGCAGACGTACGTGTAGTCACCATGAGTACAGCTCATTATCACTCGGTTTGCTCAGCAGCAGTTATATCGCTTCGATATCTATTCACTAATTGCGTCTTCATATGGCCCTAATTGATGAAATACATGCTGTCAGGTATTTATTTCCACTGGCAATACCTGTCGTGGCTGCAACACTAAAAGTATACTATAGGTCACTCAACACTTTATAATCTCACAAGACATGGCTGTTTCTTGGAGCTACTATGACATCATCATGAGGCGGCATTATATGTAACATATTTTATATTTTATACATGTATATACAGTACACAATCTATTATCCGAAATTCTGAAAACCGAAAAGCTCCGAAAACCGAAGGTTTTTTTCGTGGAGGTCATCTGCACACCAAAGCTCGCGTTTGGCTGCAGAAGGTTCACTGCAGAAAAATTGTTTGGAATTACTCATACATATTGTACTGTAGTAGTACCGGTACAGCACTTGGCCTCTTGAAAACTTGGGTTTTTATAGTACTATGGCTAGTTGCAGGATATACGGTATGTATATCTGTACTGTACTACCATTCCAAAATCTGATAAATTCCGAATTCCGAAACGTGTCTGGTCCCAAGGGTTTCGGATAATAGAATGTGTATTGTATTTAGACATATGTATTGCTGTTGTCGTGTTATCTTCATCTGTCCTTGACATGTCGCAGCGACTGTAGCATGTACGGAGATGGAGGCAAGTGCGTGCATTAGCGTGGCAGCGTGTGCCATCATAGAGGCAGCATCCGGGCGGATCGTCACGTGCGTCTGTCAGTCGGGCTTCAGACTCTTCAATGCAACAGAATGCGTCGGTGAGTGGTTACCATGACGACTAACAACTTTACTTCTTGCATTGCTAGTTATACTGCCAATTTAGCATAAGGTGCTTAATGTAAGTTTTAAAAGTAGTTGGGTGGTGTCATACAGCCGGCAAAAATTACTTTTAAGGCTATGGTAACTGGTAACCATGTAGATTTTATCATATAGATACCGGTATAGGAATTGTAGAAAATATATACATGTGGGCACATATAGTATGTTAGTGCTAACTAGTATAGTATAGCCAGCCAGTGACGGTCAGAGCTAGCAATTAAGCTCCTGGTAGCAAGAATCACTAGAAGTCGGATTTTGTGTTTTATTCCCTGTGAAAATAGCAGGCCTGGAAAACTCTCAAGCATGTGTGCTTCTACTCCATATCAGTATAGGCCTCTCAAGTGATGTCTTCCTACCATATTAATGCAATAACTGCAATAATAGTGCAGAGGCATATATGGTGTCATTCTGTACTTTTTGTGTGTAATTATTGGGATTTTAATACTTGTTCTTTGTTTGTAATGCAAAGATTTTTATTCGTTTAAATTGTCGACGCTAGTTTACGTAAACACTGGGGTAACAATTGGGATTAGTATATTGTGCAGTAGTGCAGTCACACGATGTTTTACCATGTGTTTCAGATGTCAATGAATGTGAAGAAACCAGTTTGTGTAGCATCCAGCCTGGTGCAGCTACCTGCATTAACAAGCGTGGCACCTACGAGTGCACGTGCAAGGCAGGCTATCAACTGACACCGGGTAGCAGAATTCGATGCCAAGGTTCGTAAGTTTCCCTGATAGCATAAGATTATCTCTATAAGTGATAAGAAATACTACACTAAACTATAAATAAGGAAATGTTGTTTTAGGAATGAAATACCACACATCGTTTTAAATATGTGCATGTGCATGTGTGTGTGCATGCGTACGTGCGTGCGTGCGTTCGTGCGTGCATGCGTGTACATAATCAGTTTTAATTACTAGGGGTGTAACGATTAACTGCGATTCAACTGTATCGTCTGGCATGGGGTAGTCTTAGACTACTAGTATAATAGTCTATTTAGCCAGGTAGATCACTGATGCTCTCAAGGTTTTAGGGAATTTTTTACCGATTTTTCATTTTCAATTTTATTCGATGGCTAACACTATGTGCCACCTGTGCACATGCTCATTTCTCCATATAACGGTACATGTGAACTGTCAGAGCGTTTTGATTGCCCGCGTACATGTTTAGTGAGCCGCGGCTGACGCTCTCTCTCTTCCTACTCTGGTTTGGTCTCTCTCATGCCCGCACAGTCGTGTCCCCAAGGAAAATAATGTACTTTCTATCAGATATCAGAATGCAATTAATAGCTATATTAGAGGATTGTAACTGATGCTCAAGGGGTCGTTGTCGTATCAGGTACTACAGATATGTACCCGATGTACATAATATATATGTATACACAAAGTGTACCAGACTTGTACTACAGAAGTGGACCCTAACCCTAACACTAACCCTAATTCCCTAACCCTAACCCTAACCCTAAGCCTAAACATACCTCATATAAAAATATAAACATAATACTAAACAACCTAAAACTACCTCGGGTACATATCTGTAGTACCTGATACGACAACGACCCCATCTGCGTAACTGATACTATATATGTACCCAGCATATTTTCCACTTAAGAGTAGTGCTGCGATTTTTCACTTTTCACTTGATACACAAATATATACCTGCAGCTAGTTTTAGGCTTTCGTGTACTGAATGCGTAACTCAATATTTTATTAATGTTTCTATTTAAACTAAACTCGATCGTTTCCATCAAACGTTGAATAAATCAGACAAAATAAATGTAAAGTAAATCTCTTTAGTCAAACTCCAATCACATATGTTCCTAGCCGATCCGTTTATCCCTTCCAAAATGCCAAGCCACTGCAGTGATTATTCTGCAAAGAACCGATCGACCATATAGGCAGCTCTATATTGAAAAGCTAGCGACTAGCTTCGGGTGCTCCTCTATACTCACAGACTATAAACCCCTCACAACACCACGCGTTTGCTTTTGTGTCGTGGAAAGCCTAAAATTGCACAGATAGGTTAGGCAGTACACCATTTCTATTGTCTATTGGTATTATAACCAGGGCAGCAGCTACTTCCGGCTCTCTCCGATCATCAAATTTCTCATGTGCCCTAGCTGCTCTTATATAGATCATAGATGATTGATTGACGCGTTATGGACGCGTTATATCTGCGGTGAGCCCACTACAATAATTTGGCATATTTGCTTGCAGACGTCGACGAATGCGGAGCCGGAACACACACTTGTGAACAAGACTGTATCAATTACCGGGGGTCGTTCATGTGTTCTTGTCACCATGGCTACAGCAGCATCAGTGACACCCAGTGTTCAGGTTAGAAGGGGAGGGGGGTAATTCTAACAATAGAGATTGTTTAACATTTTTGTTCATTTTACTTTGTCCCTGAATTTTAATTAAACACTTAGAGTTCGGTTAATATTAAGGTCATGCAGATCGAAGACGGTTATGTCAGGGTTAGAAGTTTGGATTAGAGTCAGGAGTTAGGGTTAGGGTTAAGGATATAGGGAGACCGGTACTCAAAACTTTCTTCATTCGCTAACCTCCCCTTTGTAGACATTGACGAGTGTGGAGACCCTGATCTGAATTCGTGCCACCCCACTAGAGCTACGTGCACTAACACAGCAGGTGGATACACGTGCGTTTGCAATGCTGGCTACCTAGGAAATGGAATTGACTGTGGAGGTGATTATTCTCTAGACTGCATCTTCCCTTTCCATAACATGTTGACTGCCACTGCACGCGTGCCTGCTATTGAGTTAGTTAAGCACTGTGAGTTGCTCTAATTTCTCTCTTGGTGTGATTACTAAAAGAACCAGGCAGTCCTCATGAATTTGGTCATCGAACTCTGAAACGTCCACCTGATTAGTTGATTAATTGACTAATTGATTGGTTGATTGAATAATGAATTGATTGGTATATTTGTTGGTTATTGATAATTTAATTGACTGGTTGATTGATTGTGTATTATTGTAGTATACACGTTACTTGCAGCAGTGGCAGTTGACGTCAAGTGTTTGGTTAATTAGATATATATATATATATATTAGATATATATGGTTGGGCACACTTGTTGAGTGTGTTGAGTCATGTTTCTATTCATTTCCTGTCCAGCAACATCATTACATTATGAAAAATAATTGGTCGTGCCCTACATTTTTCCTCCTTGGCTTTTGTTCGGGTTATTCATTCGTCGGGCCTGGCAATCAATTTTCCTGCCTGCTGCCTATACTAGAAGCCTAGCTAGCGGCAGACGTGACGTGACATATTATAGTGATTGCCTCTGTGACGTGACATTATAGTGATTGTCTCTGTGCATGCTCCTTTAATGTTGTGACAATATGAACTAAAACATTAATTGAATATCTTAATATGTTAATTGATAGTAGTTGCGTTTATATATATATATATATAATATGCATATTTTCAATATAAATCAATAAATATATAATATATTTATTTATTTATATTTAAAATATGTATATGATGAATGATGTCCAGCGATGCAATGGTAATGTGAGGACAGATTTAGCCATAATTTTGTTGACTATTAATACTAAAGGATAGCCATGTACGTTTCAGGTCAGGATGCATGCAGTGAGCCAGACAATGCAGGCTGTTCCCAGGGTTGTAGCGATAGTCTAGTCTCTGGAAGATGCATCTGTGGAACTGGGTTTGTCTTGGCCCCCAACGCCATGCATTGTCTAGGTATATACTGGGTGCTTCTGTCATAGGTGTATCCAAGTTTCATATTTAAATGTCGAACAGTAGTGCTACAATAGCAGTTAAATTACATGCTGCTGCATTTAATTGCTGCTGTAGTGTTCATTCTGTGCAGAATTTTACTGGTTCAACCCCAACAAAGTAATAATTGCGAGTAAATTTATATTGATTTTTTTGATTTTACATTTTGTGGATTCTAAAAAAATTCTTAGTTTTTGCTGTGTACTTTTCTTCGTCTGCTGAGCTGTCAGTGGGTGCTTGTGTGTTAGATACAGTTACAATGTAAGGTAATATAGATATACGTTATTTGTAACAAAAATAATGAGAAGTCATTGAAGTTTAAGCTCAGTCAATTAAACTCTTCATGCAGTTGTAGTAGTGTAATGTTCAGGGTGTACAGACATTTTGACGTGTTGCTCTGGCATACATTGGCAGACATCAACGAGTGTGGCTCGGATACGATGCAAAGCTGCTATAATGCCACCTACTGCCTGAATACGCACGGCGCACATGTTTGCAGCTGCCCCATTGGTTACTACTTACTGTCAGATGGCAGCACCTGTAAATGTGAGTCATAATTTTATCATAAATGGCGAAATCAACTCTTTTCTCATTATGACGTCGCTATTATTTCGCTTTCTTTGTTCATTCCTTTCACTTCTCATCTATGCTCTCATCTTCTCTCCTCTTCTATACTATTCTTATTTATTTATTTCTCCTCCTCTCCTGTCTTCTCTCTCTTCTCCTCTCCTCTCATCTCCTCTGCCATTTTCTCCATTTGTCTACTCTTCTTTCCTTTCATCCTCTTTCCTGTTCTTTCTTCAGCTTTCCTTTCTTCTCCTCCCTTCTACTCCCCTTTCCTGTCATCCTGACGTCCTTCACTCTTATTTCGTCTTTTCTTATATTCTGTTCCGTTCCTTTCTTAATTGTCTCGTCTCGTTCAGTTCTTGTGCGAACTTCCTGAAGATTGCATGCTTATAACAGCTAGGCAATTGGTAACGTCGTAGCCTAAGCCTCCACAGCTGGTCAGCAAACAGCTGTCCAGGGTTTCTTATACATATGAGGCACAGTGGCGCACTGCCATTGTCAAGTTTAACATCGCCGTTGTGAAAATGTTCCTGTATTTACCCGCCATTATCAAAATAGTGTAAATATGCTGGGGGTGATCCCCCAGATCCCCTTCCCTCAGCGAGAGGGGGAGTTCTCCCTCTACCTTTCTCCCCTGGGTCCATCTGCAGCGTCTGCATGCGTGCTTGGGGCACGCCTTTGAATCCATCATGCGCGTGTTTCCCCAAACTGGCCATTACCTCCTTTGTCTAATTTCCCCTGAGAAGAAACCTTGCTGTCCATTAGCGTGAACCTAAACATATCTCGGCTTTCTTTTACGAAGCCGTATGCGTGGAGCCTTTTGCAGGATTAACTCCCTTTGGCAGTGATGGCGGTTTGAGTGCGTGTGGTGATGTGCGGTCTGTTACAGCGGCTGACTCGTGCGAGGCGGATCACGAGTGTGGTTACACATGTAGCAGCGTTAATGGAGTCGAGACTTGCATCTGTCCCCGCGGTTTCACGCCGGCCGCCGACGGAGCGGCGTGCACAGGTTCGTGCGCAGGCGACAGCATGATAATCACGGCGCATGCGTTGTTACATGACACACCTTAGCTTTGAATTCATATTTATCTTGAAATTAAATTCGAAGAAATTCGAAAAAATTAAAACGAAATTATTTCGAAGAAATTAATTTTCTATCGAAAATTTCGATAGTAAGTTAATTTCTTGGATTTAACAGAAGATAAATATGAATTCATAGTTTTCAACGAAATCCAATAAACTTATTTTATTCAGTACCTTAGCTTGTTTACTGTGTTAGTATAGAGCACGTAGTGTGAGTTGTGCTAATGAGATGACCCTCACGCGCAAATAATTACATCTTGTTATAACACTAGGCAGGGGAGGGGGCTCGCGCCGGTGTCGAATACCTGCTCGTCTGCACAGGCACTTAATGTTTCTCTACTCTCTTTCGCCTATTATTGCCGGTAATTTCCTGTAAATGCACGTTCAAATGCGCCTCTGTAACACACAAGTACACTGCACGCACGCCACTGTGCACAAGCAACAAGAATATATACTATATACGCAACACTAACACGCAATTTCACGTCAATTGCACGTCACGTTACCGTGCACAAACTCACTTTCCTTCTATGGGTTTGTGCACAGTGGTGTACGTGCGTGTGGTGCAGAGGAACATTTGAACGACATTTACGTGGCATTGCTAATCGCTAGGAAATAAACACTGCGACTTTGGTAGTTAAAACATTTTGTGTTTATTTGTACCATCATTCTATTATTGAAACGTTCCAAGTGACTGTGTTCGTGTGCACCTTCCGTGTGATAATTGTATCTGTGTAGCACAGCATACACGCTACTTGTCATTGTAGAGGTGAATGCTGACTGTGTGGCATGTCTGATGGCTTAGTGGGGACACGAGTGGTGTTATATGCCAAACTAGAGTATAATGATTGGAAATCAGCCAAAACGTCGTTGCATAAAACCAAGGAATCGTGCATGATGACTCCGAGGATAGAGAAGGACGAAATGCCCAAACTGCATGCAGCGCTCCCTTCCCACACTCAGGATATACCACTGCCACAATGCTAGCACTATTTTTAAAGTGGGCGGAGCTCTGGGGAAATCCAACAAATGGCAATTCAACGGCCGCAAAGTTGGCGCCGAACAAAACATTAGAAATTTCTATGATTTGCATGTTTGTTGGTGGACAAATTTAGATGTTTTAAGCTGAATACGCAAAAATGTATCAAAGACAATGTTTCAGAATTAGATATATTGGCAAGCATCCCAAAAGTTCATGATAAATACGTGAACTTAGTTTAGTAAACAGCGTAATGATTTGAAAGTAGTAAATGGGCGCACTATTTCGTATCACTATTTTATCAAATTTCTCATAAAATAATGGTCGCATTTTTAATATCTTTGCAACTTTTAATAGTACACACCGTATTACATAGGATACGAGTAACGTGGCTGCTGTAAAACTTGTAGTAAAAAAGCGTTACAAATTGTAACCGAAATCCACTTGTGGCAGTGGTAGATTGAGCCTATGAGCGAGAGCGCCATCTGTAGTGGAGTTTGCGAAATGCCATCACAGAAATGGCACGGGGCTTCTGATTGGTCAAGATCGAAGTCGACACTGCCGCATATGTGGCAAAGTATTACAGCGGGCAGGCCATGGTCTCTCTACCTCGGCTCATGTTGTAGAGACTTAAGCCTAGCGCACACACCTGAGCAAAACTGGAAATTTTGTTTTCCAGCGTTTCGTGTTCTGCTCGGCGAGCAAGCGCACACACGCCACCCGACACAGCACACAGCTGAGCAAAACTTACAGAAACACTGCGTACAGCGCCGCTGTCACATGACATCAAAAATAGCCATCCAATTAATGGACATCCAATTTTGTGTGTCATGTGATATCTTTAAGGATATTGATTGGAGACCGTCTGTGGCGTTTCGCTGTGTAGCAGAACGATTGACGCACACACCCGAGCCAAACGTACGCTCAGGCGAAAACATGTTCTGCGAATCAAACATTGCTTGTTCAGCGGAACACGCTCAGCTGAGCAATGTTTTTTGTTTCGGGAATCCGCACACAGCCACGAACACGAAATCGAGCGAAACACGTTTTTGCTCCACGTTCAGGTGTTTTGCTCGGATGTGTGCGTTGTGCTTTATGAACCACGTTTCTCTGTTTACTACGTTTTCTTCTTCTTTTGCTTCTGCTTTGTCTGTCGTATGATACACCATGTATGCAATGATTATTCAATCGTTACGCCTGTTCTAGTCTATATAAGATTTCCTGCTATCAACTTTTCAAATTTACTCTAGATTTGTTAACAGTTGATTATTTCGTGTGATTTACATGTTTATGTGATATCTGCATGTTAATAGGATGTCCCCCTATGAATGTGGCTGTAATTGTGTATATTCACGACGCCTGCCAAGCACGCATATCTAGATACTGTGTCCGGAGCTATGCGTGTTAATTATTGCCATCATCTGCCCATAGACGTAGATGAGTGCAGCGCCTCTCCCTCGCCGTGTGCGGAAGCGCAGGGGGTCGTCTGTGTGAACGTACCAGGTTCCTACCGCTGTGACTGCATTAACGACCTAGACGTGCATCTAAACGCAGAGACGTGCGCAGGTGAGTGCAGGGGCCACGTCCGCCTACCCCATCATTATCCACCCCTGGCCTACACCTTCCATTCCACACTCTCCATCCTACACCCTCCATCCTACACCTTCCATTCCACTCTCCCCATCCTATACCATACATCCTACACCCTCCATACTACCCCCTCCATCCTAGGCCGCCATCCTAACCATCCATTTCTCATGCCTATTACATCTATCCATCATTATACACCATCCATCCTACATCACCTCTCATCTCTAATCAACCCATCCAGTCATCCTACATCCTGCCGTCATCCTAGACCGTCCATTTTCCTTACATTTTTTCCGTCCATACTACACATCCATTCCATTTACTACCCATCCCATCCTACACCGTCCATCCTACACCGTCTCCACGCTAACACCATCCCATCCATTTACACCATCCATTGTCCATACTTACAACCATCCTCCATCTACACCATTCCATCCTACACCTGTCCATCCTACATTCCCTCCATCATTACACCATCCATTTCATTTTACACTCAAATCTCATCCATGTTCCTATACCATCCATACTACACCATCCCTCATCCATCCTAGACACCGTCCATCCACACCGCCAACTACACCATCCATCCTACATGCCCTCCACTACTACAGCCATATCCATCCTACACCAATCCACCTTACATGCCCTCATCACTACACCATCCATTCTTACACCTCTTCTCTCAGTCCTATACATATCCATCCTAAGCACCATCATCCTACATCCCCTCCACGGTCCTACATCCACCATCCTATCCTACACCCTCCATCCTAACACCCCTCCATCCACATCGCCCCATCCTAGTCACCATCCAGTTCCATCCTACACCCCCATCCTACATCCCCCATCCTACACCGTCCATCCATATCACTCATCCATCTAGCACCATGCCATCCTACACGCCTCCATATCTACACCCTCCACCACTACCGTCCACCATCACCCATTGCCATCCTACACCATCCATCCTACACCTCCATCCTATTCAGCCATCCATTATCCCATCCTTATCACCCTCCATCTACACCCTCCATCTATCACCCTCCATTCCTACACCATTCCATCCATTCCTACACCCTCCATTCCGTACACCCTCTCTCATCCTATCATTTCCCTCCCATCCTTACAGCCCTCCATCCTACACCCTCCATCCTACACCGTCCCATTCCTACACCTCCATCCTATCACCTGTCCATCCACATCATCCATCCTACAGCCCTCCATGCTACACTCTCCACCGCTATCACCCATCCATCCATCCTACAGCCATCCATCCTACAACCATCCATCCAAGCACGCTCCATCGCCTATCACGCATCGCCATCCTAACCCTCCATCCTACACCATCCATCCTACACCATCCCATCCAATCACACCATGCCACCTAACCTTCCATCCTATCACCACCATCCTACACCATCCATTCCATACACCATCCATTCCACACCATCCATCATAACCATCATCCTATCACCCTCCATCCCACACCCTCTCATCATACACCTGACCTCCATCCTACACCCTCCATCCTAACACGCATCATCCTAGCACCATCCCATCATACACCCCTTCCATCGCTACACCCTCCAGTCCTAACACCCTCCATCCTACACCTCCATCCTACAGCCAATCCAGCCCTACAGCCATCCTTGCCGTCCTACACCAGCTCATCCACGACCCTTCCATCCTACACCCTCCATCCTATCAGCCATCCATCCCTACACCATCCATTTCCTATCACCATCCATCCATCCTATCACCATTCCATCCAAGCTCCACCCATCCATTCCATCCTACACCATCCATCCATCCTACACATACCCACCTAATCACATCCATTCCATCCTAAACACCATCCATGGTCCGATCCTATCACCATCCATCCATACCTACAACCATCCATCCATACTACACCATTCTCATCCATACTACACCACCTACCATTTCCGCTACACTCAATCCATCCATCCACACCATTCCACCATCCTACACCTCCATGCCATCCTACACCATCATGCCATCCTACACCCTCCACCCATACTACACATCCATATCCATTCCTATCACCATATCCATCCTCATCCACCATCCATCCTATCACATTCATGCCATGCCTACACCACCATCCATGTCCTACCACCAATCCATCCTTCCTACAATTCCATTCATCCATCCTACCATCCATCCGTACAGTCCACCCATCCTACGCCCCTTCATCCTACATTCCATCCATCATTACACCATTCGCATCCTACACCCATTCCATCCTACACCATCCATCCTACACCATCCCTCTACAGCCAGCACCCACATCCCTCGCATCATACACCATTATCCCTACCACCTTTCGTCTCTAATTCACCCTTCCATCATACACATCCCGATTCCATACACCAATTCCATCTACACCATCCACCATGCCTATTCACCATCCATCTATACTAACCATCCATACCAGCCTACATGCCATCTCATCATCCTACAGCCATCCATTCCATCTACACCAGACATCATCCTACACCATCCATCCATACTACACCCACCATTCCATTACTACAACCATCCCATCATCCTACAACCATCTCACCATCCTAACCATCCATCATCCTACACCATCCATCCATCCTAGCACATCCATCCATCTACACATTCTACCATCCTACACCTCCATCCTACACCCTCCCTCCTAACACCGCCATCCTACACCCTCCATCCTACATCCATCCATCCATTTCCTACATCGTCCATACTACACCATCCATACACAGCCATCCATTCATACACCGCTCCATCCATATGACACCCTCCATCCTACACCCTCCATCCTACATATCACCATCCATCCTAACACCATCCATCCTACACCATTCCCATCCTACACCGTCCATACTACACCCCCATCCTACACCCTCCATCCTACACGCATCCATCCATTCCTACACCCTCCATCCTACACCATCCATGCATACGACCCAGTCCATGCCTACACCGCTCCATCTCCATCACCCTCTCGATCCTACAACCATCCATGCTATACACCCTCCATGCATCCTACAACCGTCCATATCGTAAGCCATCCAAATACTAACATCCCTCCATTCCTACACCATCCATCCTACATCCCTCCATCCTAACCATGCCATTCCTACACCATCCATCCATCCTAACCGCTCGCATTCGCTACACCTCCATCCTACACCCCCATCCACACCCTCCATCCTAACTCCCATCCTACAACGCCTCCAATTCCTACCAACCTCCATCCTACACCCTCCATCCTACACCAATCCATGCTAACCATCCATCCTACAGACATCCATGCCTACACCAGCCACATCTACACCGTCCAGTACTACAGCCCTCCATAACCACACCATCCATCCTACACCATCCATCCATACTACACCATCCATCCTACACCATCCATCCTACACCATTCATCCCACACCCTCCATCATACACCATTTATCCTACACCCTTCGTCGACCTACACCCTCCATCCATACAGCATCCATGCTACACCCTCCATCCTACACCCTCCGTCCTACACCATCCATCCTACAACATCAGACCTGCCAACCCTTACGATTTTTTCGTATTCCTTACGAATTCCATGATGTTTCTACGAATGTACGATCAAACTGAAAAAATTAATGTTTTTTACATTGTGAGCCGAGAAATATCTGGCGATTGTGGGCGCAGCCATATTGAATCACGCGTTCACGTTGTTCTCGCGTGATCTAGAGTTAGTCCCATCATTTATTGCGCGCATAACATACAAACAAAATGGCCACCTGCTGCAAGAAAAGAAAAGCCTTACTATTTTCATGAATCACAGGTTGGCAGGTCTGCAACATCCATCCTACACCCTCCATCATACACCCTTCATCCTACACCATCCATCCACCTTACACCCTCCATCCTACACCCTATTACTGTTAAAAAGATTGTTATGCTGAAAGGCAATGTCAAACACTGTTTGTATTGTCATGAGCTAAAGGTAGCTGTCCTTTAGATTAATTACTCACAAATCGCTGGCTTTATCTGACTCTATATTGAGAGGGAAATTACCCAAACATCTATCGTTCAGTAGTAACTGCTAAGTGCCCCCAGGAACGGGAACAAAGAAAGCGATGCGTAATCAGTCAGTCACATCTGGTTGCGTGCAGCGTAAACTTAGTCACTATTCTATAACAATGCCTCCGGTCATACATGTAATTCCTGACTCGTGTATGTAATATGTGGTTCGAGTGGGCAGTTTTTCCGACCTTGCGACCTTACGTCGGTATTGCTGATATTTCTTCATCAATGCTTCTTCTACATGCGTATGCTTTTGTTTAGAGGTGAATGAGTGTGCTGGCGTTAATAACTGCCCCACCCACGCCACCTGCACCGACGACTCGCAAGGCTACCACTGTGACTGTGGGATTGGATTCATACGCGACGGCACCGTATGCAGCGGTGAGCAGTGTATGGAGGGGAGAGGATGCTTCTCGTTAGTGTGAGAGAAGACGAGGGCGAGAGAAAGAGAGAGAGAGAGAGAGAGAACGTAATTTCTCAGTAAACAATGTGCTCAATTAGGGCAAACCAATCAACATGAAAAGACATAGTAATGCATAAATGGTTTTATTTGACGACTAATATAATATGGTATTCGTAATATTCGCTGTAGTATCAAGAAAGTGTAAAACGCATGTAACCCATATATAAGCGACAGAATATATATATATATATATATATAAGGACAGGGAGAGGACGAGGGAGAAAGAGAGCTAGGGAAGTACGACGGAGAGGGAGAGGAAAAGGAAGAGGGAGAGATGAGGGAAGGACGAGAGAGAATGAGAGAGGGAAAGGACGAGGGATAGGGAGAGGACGACCGAGAGGGGGAGACAAATAGAGAGAGAGAGAGAGAGTGTGTGTGTGTGTGTGTGTGTGTGTGTGTGTGTGCGTCGCGTGCGTGCGCTGCGTGCGTGCGTGCTTGCGTGGCGTGCGTTCATGGCGTGTATGTGTAATCTGTGTGTGCAAACGTGAGAGTAAATCTGTGTGGGAGAAGAGAGAGAGAACGAACAGGGGAGTCCCGTGGCGCGGCGAGCAAGAAGAGAGAGAGCAGAGAGAGCGAGAGAGAAGAGAGAGAGCAATACCGTTAGGTTGTCATCTTAATTGCCCTTTATGACAAGTCCAGCAGATACCTCCATTCCTCCCGGAGGAGAATGCCGGTGGCTTATAACCGTAATTAATAGATGCCCGGTTAACGCTACGATAACCCGTTAACCCGTGCGCGTAATGTGTATCCTAAATTGTTAATCGTGTATTATGAGAGCATGCCCCTGCGAAACGAGGCGAAAGGAAGAGTGAACAGCGAGAGAAGAGAGAGAGAGGAGAGGAAGAGAGAGAGAGAGAGAAGAGAGAGAGGAGAGAGCTAACGAGTGCGCTAGGAGAGAGAGGAGGAAGGGAGGGAAAGATAGAGGGAGATAGAGAGAAAGAGAGAGAAAACGCTGAACGAAAAAGCAAAAGGAAAAGAAATAAAGAGAGAAGAGTGCAACACGGAAGGAGTGAGTAAAGAGAACAGAGAAGAAAATGGAGTAATAGAGTGAGAAAAGAAGAGATTCGAAAGTGATAGGGAGAGCCCGAACAAGCGCGAGTGAAGAGATAAAAGAGAGCCTAAACTAAACGAGAAGTGGGAGTGAATTGCCGCATTAGCGGTGCGCTATTTGTTTCTCTTCGTCAGACGTCGACGAGTGTGCGTCTAGCGAACTCAATACGTGTCATGCGAGCCGCGGCGTCTGCATCAACGTCGTCGGCAGCTTTCAGTGCTCGTGTTACGTCGGCTACACAGGGTCTCAGTGTTCAGGTACTGTATAGTAGCACCGGTCAGTAATACACACGCACACACACACACACACACACACACAACACACACACCACAACACACATATATATATATACTATCTATCTTATCTATTCTATCTATCTCTATCTATCTATCTATCTATCTATCTATCTATCCATCCATCCATCCATCTATCTATCTATCTATTGACTTACCTATCTATCTATCTATCGGTACCTATCTATTTATCTATTTATGTATCCATCTATCTTCCTACTTATCTACCTATCCATCTATACATTCAACTATTTCATCTGTCTACATGCTCTTGTGTGTAGCAACACCAACAAGTCATGATAATTATTATATTTTAGTAATGTTATAGTAAGTAAGATATTAATAACTTAATTTTACTGCTGATATTATATTTACATCTCTAGTTACGATACATATTTCAATTGTTTACGGTATACTGCTCGTTAGTATCAAAGAGAGTTCAAAGCCTTGTCTAAACTATTGCCGAATACGTGTGCTGAACGGTATGAATGACTGCTGCTGTTATTGTTGCTGCTGATTCTACTGCTACTGCTGCTGCTGCCATTGCGCACGAAAATTGCAATTTCCATTTGCTTTGATTAGACGTGAACGAGTGTTTGATGCAGCCAAGCGTTTGTCAGCATGCAGACACCTGCGTCAACACTGACGGATCGTTCACATGTGACTGTTCCACGGGTTATTCCCTGCTGGCAAACGGCAACACCTGTATTAACATCAACGAATGTGTCATTGGTACCCACACCTGCACACAGGTAGGTTCCTAGATGCTCCCGCTAGCATTCTCTTGTACTTAGGTTTGGCAACCGTACCCAGGACGGTAGCCTCTGGGATGTGCAAGGGGCAGCTTAGTTGTTATTTATTTTTCCCCCATAGATTTCAGAGAAAATTAATATAAACGCCCAACAAATGTAAATATGCCTTGATTTTATTTGATCATATAAATTTGAATTTTTGATTAATTTAATTTCAAGATCTGTCCTTGCTAAGCACTGACAAACTTTACAAGAACGGCATCGAAACTGTATTCATATTTTAATATAATATGAACATATATTATTATATTTATTATATATCTATTATTAATGTATATTAAGTATTTCATATGTATCTCGAAATTAAATTGGTTTACTGATTCCATTTCTCATAGTCCGAAAATAGCACGCGTGTGTCATTCAGTGACAGGTACAACTACAAGAACTATCCACACTGTTACGGAAATATGATGCACATTCACATGGGGTAACCATTAGAAATGTTTCTCCATTTTTTGCTGTGTGATCAGCCATGGTTTATACACACCATTTTATGCCTCCCGAAGAGCAGTGCTGTTAGTGTAAGTAGAAATTCCTAATCCGTTGAATTTTCTTTCACCGACAAAGTTGTGCGATGATTGGCCAGGAAGCTACACGTGTGGCTGCATGCCCGGATACAGACTAGAGAGCAATCTCAGAGATTGTGCAGGTAATGGGAGATTTTGCCTACACTTGACAAAGAAAAAGGCATTGCTAATAAATCTGTTTGTTGCTAACATGGCGTCAAATATTTTTCACTAACCCATCCATCATTAACCAACACGTCCACACCTAGTCTCCGCTCCACGCCCCCTTTACCATAGTACCACCTGCTACCACTATCGCCCTGCCAATTCTACATTTACCCTTTCCTCTTAGATGCTGTAGAATATTTCTGATAATGGCCTCTTGGGTCTCTCACCGTAGTCTGTCACATGTCAGTAATATGCTGTTGGTTGTCTCTCTGCAGTGGTGGTGGCGTGCAATACCTCGCAGGGAGAGCAATGTTTGGATGATTGCGTCGTCATAGACGGACAGGCGACGTGTGTGTGCACCGATCCTACCACGCAGCTAGCTGACGATGGCATGTCCTGCATAGGTAATATCAGGAGTGAATAATGATAAAAATTTGTCATTATGACAGAATTGTTTTAATGACAGAATTTGTCATTATTAACTCCTGGTAATATAAGGAGACTGGGTGAATACAAACAAACGAGAAACGAGTACGCAAGGCTCGAATAATGTCCAACGTTCTCTATCACTGAAATGCGTGTGCGTGCGTGCGTGCGTGCGTGTGTGTGCCTGTGCGTGCGTGAGTGCGTGTGTGTGTGCGCGCATGTGTGTGTGTACAGAGAGCGAGAGAGAGGTGGATGGAGGGGTGATCGGACGGACGAACGGACGACAGACGGGCGGGTGGGAAGGACAGACGGACGGACAGACGGATATCAGGAGTGAATAAAAACGCATTTTTTGTTTATTCACTCTTGATATATGTATGTATATATCTTAACACGCCTAATCAATCACTGCCTATAATACCTGAACATGTGGATGAAGAATGTAGATGAACTATCTGTACATGCACACCTATTCGCGGTGTTTTAATACCTGATTATGCTTCTCCTACGTTTTAATATATGGACATATTGCCTGCCACAGATAAGAATGAGTGTGTGTCGCCGGCGCCCGTCTGTGGTGTAAACGCCATCTGCGTGGATAAGACTTCTGGCTTTGAATGCAACTGTTTGGATGGATGGGAGCTGGCAGCTGATACAGTGAACTGCTTCGGTAATTTTATCTACGTGAAGACAATGCACTATAAATTATAATACTCACACATGCATGTGCACATCGAACTGCCCCTGGCACATGATTATTTTGATGTAGTAGTCGTGTCTCATATATCTCTTCTTTTCCCTCAAGCTGCAACTGTTATTGAATGTGCAGAGTTTTCTTACCTTTCACGTCGCAGCTTTTATATGTATTCATTCCACTCTTATCTAACATATCATTATTGCTGTTTTATTACTTCCGCCAAGGAGGTTATGTTTTCGTTCCTGTTAGTTTGTGTTTGTTGGATTGTTGGTTTGTCTGTCAACAGGATATCTCAAGTTACAGACGGATTTTGATGAAATATTTTGGACAGGTTGGTCTTGGGCCAACAACCAATCGATTAGATTTTGGTGGTGATCCAGATCTGGATCCAGGTTTTTTTTGTGGGGAAGACTTCGGACGCATTCAAAATTCATCAAAAAAAAATTCATTTCAAATTTCTGAAAATTCCATCAAACTGTATTGGGTGTACCAGCAAGATGGGGGGGGGACTGTTACGCTGTGGCAGAGGTTTAATTGTTATCTCCGATTGCTCTTGTGTTGTCATTGTTTTATAGTAATAGCATTGTTATTGTAATATTATTGCTGTTTAAAGTTGTTGCCGTGTTGTTATTCTTACTAATGTTGCTGTTGTTAGTGTTGTTGCTTTTAGTGTTACCGTTGTTAGTATTATTGTTCTGTGCTGTTGTTGTTGTTGTTGTTGTTGTTGTTGTTGCTGTTGTTGTCATTAATTTTGATGATGATGATGATGATGATGATGATGATGATGATGATGATGATGATGATGATGATGATGATGATGGTAATGATGATGATGACGATGATGATTATGTTATCGTATTGTTGTTGGTATTATTTTGTAGATCGCAATGGCGGCTGGAGTCAGTGGGGGGAATTCGGGGCATGCAGCAGCACCTGTGGCACTGGACTCATGGTGAGAAGGCGCACATGTAGCAACCCCACCCCTGAAGGCTGGGGCATGCAATGCCATGGCAGCGAGATAGAGACCGAAACATGCAACAGCCAGCAATGCCCACGTGAGAAATACGTCTACAATTCTACTTCCTCGTACAAATTTTGTCAGGTCCATAGTGTGGTACATTCCTGGAGGCAGAATTTCATTACATCACGGATAACTATATGATGATTTCGCTTATTTTATATATATTTATTATGCTTTTATTTTGTAAAAATCTATAATGGTTGCCCATCCAAAACGTTTTTGCTTTGGTTTTGCATGTCTGACGTGCTAGCTTTTACTGAAGTTATTCTTAAAGTTTTTTGCACACAAGGTAAAATTATGTTATTATATAGAATACAACGCCAGCATTTCAGTTTGAGCTTGTACTCTCGTGACACTGGCAATGAACGTGTGTTATTCTGCAATTGTAGTACATCAAAACTATTTTGTTCTGTTGCAGTTTCAGAGTCATCCCTTGAGTTTGGAGTGACTCTGTTGCTGTTTAATATGGCAATATATCAGGTAGTCATGATATTTTTAGGAGATCTTCCTTTTCCTCTTCCTCCTCCTCCTCCTCCTCCTCCTCCTTCTTCTCCTCCTCCTCTGCGTCATCTTATTCATCGACATTATCATCTTTTTCTATTTTAGTTGCTTGTTCTCCATCTGTTTTTTTATTGTTTCCTGTTCTTTATTGACATCATCTAATTTTTTCACCTCCTCTTCATCTTCTTGTTCTTCTTCTTCATTTTCTTAATCGTTAGCATCTCAGAAAGGTCCCAACTTGCATCCTTGCGGCATATTCTCTTGTGTTTCAGTTTACGCCGGCAGTCGACCACTCGCTCCGGACAAGCATTGCAGACGCCTGGAATGAATACTGTCTACGGGACGAGAGTACATATGATGAGTGCTGCAGTCAGCTGCCTGGATATCAGCCTTACCCGTAAGTCCATGGAGAAAGTCATCGTGGAGTGGGGGACTGGGACAGACAGAATGAGAGGCATCTCTATGTAACGCAGATTCATTGCCACTACCCCGTGTCTGTAAGATATAAAAAGCATATCACTCAGTGGCATAGAGCCATAATGTCAGCAGTCGACAACTAGTTTTTGATCCATGGTAACCTTTATCGGTTCCGTTGGGTGTATAAAGCTGAAAATGGCTTACTTGTGCATATGATCTGTCTGTACTGCCCTCTTCCCTGTGCGCATACTTCAGGCTGCATACAAGAGTGTTTTATATTGACACACGTTGGCTTTGAGTAATCAAATGCAGCTATGTAGATGCTGCTTACTCGTGCTCACTCAACCTCAGGATAATAATGATAATTATAATAATGGTGATGATGAAAATGATCAAAGACAGATCACCGATGCCTTGTCAGACCTTGCACCATAGTGCTTATAGGTACAAGCTGCCGTTTTGCTCATCACGTTGCTTACTTTAAAAAAACAATCAATGCCTCTCAGTAAAATATCCTGATAATGGAGAGGAATTGCCTGTGATCGTTACCTTCGCCATGCGATCGTCGGTAGGGGAGCGGCTGCATCGCTGAGTATCTCCGACCTTGGACACATCTACATCGACCATGATGCACTGCAGCAGGTCGGTGATGACCTACAGGTGATCGTGCTCGCTGGAATCCCGCGCGACAATGAGCTGTGTCGCCCCCTGGCAGCTGCCGGCAGACGCAGGAAGCGAGAGGCGGTGTTTGACGTGGACGCGGTGGTGCTCCTGAGGCAGACCTTGCTGCTGCAGATTCTTAGCAACGGCGACATGTGAGTAGTGGGAAAGGTGGGAGAAGGAGGGGCGGTGCGGGAGGGGGGCGGGTGGTGTGGAAGGGGGAGAATGGGGTGGGGATGCGTGGGAGGGGAGCTATAGAGCGGGGGGGGGGGTAGGCTGGTGGGGGGTAATGAGAGATGGGCTGGTATAAGCATAGAAGATGATGGAGGGGAAGGAGGTGGTGCAGGGAAGACAGTGGAAGGGATGTATGGGTGGTGACGTGGTCAGAGGGGACGCGTGATAGCAAAAGTATGGTATGGGGTACATATGAGGTAGTATATCTGACATAAGCTTCATAATGCAACCAGCAGACTTTGGTGGATAATTCGTGATTATTCTACTCGACCATTCTACATTCTCCCCCTGACTACTAGCGCATCATTGGCTCTAGTGATTCCCATACAAATTCATTCTGTAACGTGCCCTTACCCTTAAAACATCTGCCCTCTAACTGTCACAGAATATGTGTTAACCCCAATATTGTGGCCCTCACCGTCTTCTTTTCTGTGTACGTTCCAGCCAAGCAAGTATCGTGGAAAGCATCATAGCGACAGGACTAAATACGACACTGATAATGGTGACCGCAACCGCAGTCAACGATAATGGTGATGACCAGGTAAAAACAAGTAGACGGACAGACATAGAGAGGGGCAGGAGAGAACGCGATAGACGTGATGTGATGTTAGCTAACTGCCACTTCTCCTGTTGCATCAGCTGCTCTTAGCCAACGTACAGTTAATTACAGCGTGTCAACCAAGTAGCTTGACGAACAGGAACTGTGTTGCAATTAGTTGCATTTGGCACGTAACGTCACCTACCTATACGATACATCGCCACTGTATTCCCATCTTATATACGTTTTGGAGCAGAACGTGTGACGTACGCCACACGACGTGCTAGAATTAAAGCATCTCGCGATATCGCAAATAGTTATATTTATCATGGCGGTCAAATTACGATACGATCAAATGAGCCAGTGACAGAATCGTGGTTTTGTGCCATGCCGCAAGAACGATTTGTGCATGGTTATACTTAACGTTGCATGTGGAGATGGGTACACGCGCATTCTCAGCAGAAGGCTAGCTTTCAGGTGAAGAAATACCTCCAGTACACGCTACTGTAACGTCTTACGAAGTACTAGTATCGCATATCCTCTAAATTGGATACCTCTAAGAAGCAGCGTATGCGTACGTGCATGCGCTTTACACGTGACATTTCGCCTAAGCCACTTTCGATAAAAAATACGGATGTTGGAGGGATTCTCAGGGAGCGCTGTAATTACCATGTTATTAATTGTGCTGAAGCAGAAACTCGCATGTCGGTTCATAAATATCACGCCATTGGCCGCAATTTGAGCGGCAGTGGGAAATTCCTAGTAGAGTTTTTCCCACTTTATTGGGAAAGGTCATGAACCATAAAGTCACGATTAAGCGATGATCCCGATTAAGCGGTGAACACGTGTGCAAGGATTGTTTTTCAAAGACATACGTCGTTGAAGCGATGCGCCCAATTATTCGTTGCCTGATAAAAGCAGGGAACGCTGTTTATAGGTAAATAAACACACACCGCGTGAAACCATTATTATATTCATTCTGATCTAGATACCTAGGTAAATATTGTAAGGCTACCTGCTCGTCCACTGTGAAACTGAAAAGGCAATGTGTTTGTTATTGCATTTATATTTATCGTACTGTATAACTAACTTAGGTCCATGACTATAGATGAGTCACATCGAATTGTAAG